TAACATTGAGGATTTGGTGGAGACAAGTGAAGTAGTAAGGGGCGAGAAAGATTTAGCCGCCATGGAAGCAGAGAGAGAGGCTGTTGACAAGGTGACAACAGAAGATGATGTATCATTAGCAGTAGCTAAAGTTAAGGTTGAAAATTTGAGGGACATTAATGAAATACAGATGGGAGAGGAGGACATGGCACTAAGTGTAGAAGCAAAGGAAGAGGCTGCAGAGGAGTTGATTGCAGAGGAAGATGTAGGTGGAGAAGTAACAGAAGCACCAGGGAGTATAAGTAGAATACAAGAAGAAATGCCTCTCATAGTAGTGGAGGAAATACCTGGGCAAACTCAGGATAGTGGAAGTAAAGAAAAGATGGAATCAGAGGTGATTGAAGAGAAAGTTGGAGATTTGACACAACCAGAACAAAGGCTAGAAGAACAAGTAGAAGAGAAGGAAGAAGAACAATGGGCTTCAGCTGGCATGATTGATAAAGTGGAAACTGGAGAATTAGAGATGGCATTAGCAATTAATCAGAATGAAATGATGAAAGGCCTGAGGCCATCTCAGGAAAAGGCAGAGATTGCTGTCGTAGATGCCGTGGGAGAAAAATTACCATCTCAAGAAAAGATTTTATCCTGGAGTCCAGAATTGGAAGGACGAACTCAAGAGATAGCAGGGATGGGCTCCAGAGAAGGGATATCCAGATCATATAAGCAAGAGGATAAACTAAGCCAAGAACTTGTTGCAGAATTGGTGAGAATTGGCCAGGAAAGACGAGATTTGGGCTTAAGTCAAATAGCATTGTTAGAAGCAAGCATAAGGCTCACTGAAGAATTAGGTAAATTGACTAGCAAAGAAGAAAGCCACCAAGTGAAAGGTAAAATAATCCTAGGCTTGGCAGGGCTACGACAAGGACCAATTCAAGTAACACCGCGTAGGACCGTTCGGTCAGCGGGAGGCTATAATGGAGTGTTGGCACATGTAGCTCCAGGGTTAATTGTAACTGGTTTAAGGAAGCCTGAGGAAAAGAGACTAACAAAACAAGATCACACGGAGTTGGGCAAGAGGAGATTAGAACAAAGAGAGACCCGATCAGCTGAGCAGGGCCGTTTTGGAGTAAGCATGAGGTCAAATGAAGCAATGGTCTTCATGGGTTACCGAATTGGGCGGGAAAGAATGTATTGTTTGTCCGAGGCAGAGAAGAGGATGGTGAAAATTCAGCAGCTGCCTGAGTTAGAGGAGATTAAGAAAAAGCCTGCAGTAGAACAGGTAGAGGTGCCCGGGCAGGAACAGGAAGGGAGGAAGGAAGAGGTACAAGAAATTAACGCCCGTGATCTAGAGGACCTGCCAGAAGCATGGCTTGAAAGACCATGGACACGAGATTATGTAGCAGCCCAAGCAAGTTCTGGGTGGACTGCAGGCACAGGGCCAGGACATGGGCGTATTTCAAGGTCACTTCGGGCAGGAATAAAAAAAAGAATTAACTTGATGGTGATGGGGGAGTGTGCCACAAAATCAGCAGCGCAGAAGCTTGAGCCATTACACGTTGGAATGAGAAGAAGGATGTTTGAGCTTACAAGTAAGTCTGCCAATGTCCATTGGCTGAACGAGATACTGAGGCCAAGACCGCCAGGTTCTCGGTTTAGTGTCGCAGATCAGCAGGTTCACGATGAAGGAAGTCCTGGCCTGATGGCTGAAAGGCAAAGCCCTGGTTTGTTTACAAGGAGAAAAGAGCTAAAAGATTGGAGGGATGGGGTGATGGGAATAGCCATCAGGAGATACAATGCAATGAGACTCGCCATGTGGGGCGAAGGCCCAGTCGGCTTGCACATAAAGGGGAGGAAGTTAGCTGAGGATTCATACGTTCCCACAAGTAGCTCCCATAAGGTGAGGTCCATTTTGGGACACGTTGAAAGAAGAGTGCTAACCATGGCACAGCAGGTAACAAGTGAGAGAGTACCAGGTTTGGAAGTGGGTGGACAAAGTCTAGTTGAGGCACTGAAGCAGGATATGGAGTTAGCAAGGTCCAAGAAAGGTGAGAGATTTTCAAGGTAACTGGCGAAAGAAATTATGCAATGAGTTTAGGGATATGGCGTTGTTTTAAGAATTAGTGGAAAAGCAGAAAATGTATAGAGAATAGTACAGTTTTAAGAGCAAAGCTTCAGGTTGAGGGGATTTATATATTTGTCAAAGGAATAGAGAAAAAAGAAAGGCCAAGACAATGATATAAGTAACAGAGTATTGACACTTGAGGGACAAAGGTGCGGTGCATAGGGAATGAAATGAGGATTAAAAATTGACCTTGAGAAAATTGGTGACTTTGATCATCTGGGATGTGTGTCTGCGAGTGAGCGAAAGATAACTAACCTCTTTCAGAAAGGAAGAAAATTGTCTCCGGAACATTTAGTAGCATCTCAAACAGGTTCTTGCCTTTTCTCATAGACTTGGATTTGGTAGCTGATGCTTACATTAAACGTCTCCATCGTAACCTGTAGTCAAGCTGTTCCTGTGCTGTCTGCATTACAATCGTGGAGAAATACGGATAGCCTTTTGCTAGTGCTTTGAAAAGAATTTTTTAAAAAAACAGAAAGAGCAAGATTCCAGTAAAACGAATCACTGTTTGTAAAACATGGTATTCTTTGCCCTGGATTGACCTTTTTTTTTTTCAGGAGTAGTCTTCCCCTGGAAAGCGAAACCCTGGAAGTACAGTCTGAAAAGCAAGTGGAATTCTCAGCTCAAACTGGTACAGCGGCAATTTTGTAAAACGTTTTAAAAATATTGTGAATGTGGAAACATTTGTAAAAATGCTAAGGAAGGAAGAAATTACCATATCTTCCTAAAGTAAAATTAGATGCAGTTTGTTTCTGTATCACCTATAGCAGTGGTGGCGAACCTATGGCACACGTGCCAGAGGCGGCACTCAGAGCCCTCTCTGTTGGCACGTGCACCACCGCCACCAGCAGCAGGTCCATCAGGCTGCCACCGCCGCCCGGAGTAGGAGCCCCACCCAGCACAAAGGAGACAAAGCGGCCGACTAGCATTTTACATGCGTCCATGCACACATGGGGCCACGAGCACGCACGTACTGCAAATAGGGCAGGGCTAGTGCCTCTGTGATACTCACTAGCCCTGCCCCATTCTTGTGGTGCAGCGGCAGCCGTTTTTGTGCCTTGCAGCATGGTGGTCCATTTTTGTGCCCCTGGGTTTTGCATGCCAGAGGCGGCACTCAGAGGCACCTCCCCCCCCGAGGGCACCACAATGCTGATGCGGCCCTGGCACTTTGCAATAAATAAGTGGGTTTTGGGTTGCAGTGTGGCCACTCGGTCTCTAAAAGGTTCGCCATCACTGACCTATAGGGTAAGTCCTCAATGTACAACTGATAACTTAGTGACCATTCAAAGTTATGACCAATCCCCCCCCCCCAAAAAAAAAGTACGGCCCAGATTTGAATTTCTGATGGCCACCCTCTCCCTATTGTCGCATGATTGCATTTTGGGTGCCTGGTAACGGGCCCACATTTACAGCCGTTTGCAATGTCCTACAGTCATGTGACTGCCAATTCCAACATTTTTGCTGGAAACCAGTATGCTAATTTCTGACAAAAAAAAATGCCCTTCGCAGCCAATGGGATTGCTTTACAACCACCAGATTTGCTTAACAAATCTTGCAAAAAAATGTTATGAAATGAAGTTGGTCATGTGGGTGCCTCACAACCTACGACAGAAATTCCGGGCTCTGTTAACAGTGGTAAATTGAGGGCTATGCGTATTAGATTTTGCTTGCTGTGATATGCAGGGGAGCATACGGGGAACTATTGCAGTCAAAAGGCAGGAAATATATTTGATAAATCTTAACTAACACACACATTGACGTATCGTGAGCACCCTCAAATTTGGAACCGCACATTTGCCTCATAATGGGGAAACAGAAATTTTCTTTGGAAATTTCTATTTGAGAAAGATGGTGTGGTATCAAAAGTCCCTTTTCGTGTTTCATTACATTGCGGTTACATTTCAAATCATAGCATAGGTAGTTCTCAACTGATGACCATTCTTTTAGCAACTATTCAAAATTATGGCAATGGTGGAAAAAAAATGACTTACAACTGGTCCTCCTAGACCAGGGGTAGGCAACCTTGGCTCTTTTATGACTCATGGACTTCAACTCCCAGAATTCCTGAGCCAGCATGGCTCAGTTTGGAAATTCCTTTCCCCTCAGCATGGCTGGCTCAGGAATTCTGGGAGTTGAAGTCCACGAGTCATAAAAGAGCCAAGGTTGCCTACCCCTGTCCTAGAACCAGGTCATGTGATTGTCGTTTATGACAATCTTCTCAGGGGACTTTCCAACAAGCAAAGCCAAAGGAAAGCTGGATTTGCTTAACAACTGCATGACTTGCTTAAGAACTGGGGCAAAAAAGGTTGTAAAATCAGCTGCGGTTCACTTAATGACTGCATTGCTTAGCAATGGGAGTTCCGGTCCCAATTGTCATAAGTCGAGGGCTACATATATTCAGCTATGTTTTTGCAAAGATATAGAGATGAGGAAGCGGTGAGCTATGAACAAAACTGTTACAATTTTCAGAGCTAGGGAACAGCATGGTAATAATAAGCATTAATTTTTAAAGCAGTGATACGTTCAGAGAGCTATACAGGCTGCCAAATGAAATAAAGAAACAAATACAGATTTCCTAAGGGTGTATCTATAAAAACTGAAAAGGGACATGAAACTATATTTTGGGAGAGTGAAACTTTCTCAACTTTAGAATAATCCTCAGACCATGAAGTTGGCCTTCCAAAAAGACTGCATCCCCTTTTCAAGACCTTTTCCTACAATTTTTCCCCCAATTACTTTAAATGCTGTTGGCAGAAGTCAACTTGTTTTGATTGGTTAATTGTACCTTTAAAAAAAAAAGAAGCTCTTTTTGGATATGTGCATCGGTTTTGAAAGATTTTCAATTTGGCTGCAATCATTAACGCTGATTTCTGTTCATGCATCTCTTCAGCTAATTCTGAGTCAGGCAGTCCCGAGCGCAGGCTGGGCTGCCAAGGAACCCAGGAGCTGGACGGCTCGTCCCAGTGGCTGGCTGACCAGAATGAGGCCGGTTCGCAGCATGCACTGGAACAGGATGCCAGCACTACAACCGCAGCTGAAACTGTTGGGACGAGAGGCAAAGAGCAAGAGCGAATTAAAATGCAGACCAGTCCTCCCCAACAACACCACATGCTGCACGCCCAGGTAGAGTTGGAGGTGAGAAGCACCCGTGTGCAAATCCCTCTGGATTAGCCAAGTCTATCTGTGGATTTTCAGTGATGGTTAAGATAATTTGAGACGCATTGTGGGGAGCAGCTTTGTGGCAAGCCAAAGGAAGTCCTTCTCTGAGGCCTCGGAGACTTTATTTCTGGAGTTACTATATTTTAATGATTAAGGGCGCTGTGATAATCCTGGCTGTTGATTTCTCCTTCCTTCCATGCCTTTCATATCACATCGTGTGCTTCAGGCTACATCAGACAAAATGACAGGGAGCAATCCAGTGTCACCAGCCTCTTCAGGCTCACCGTCCTCAAGTGGGAGCATCTCACCATCGCATCTCACCCACGACTCCTCTTTGGACAGTCATCTAAGTTTTGATGGTCCCAAGTCGCAGAACAGAGCCCTGGTGTCGTCTGGGATGTACATCTCCCCCGATCCCGCGAGCATGTGGGACAAGACACACGCAGAGATTGCCGAGCAGGCGAAGCATGTAAGCTCTTGTCCAAACCACTGGACCCTTTTAACCCTTTTTATGTTGGGTGTAAGCATTTGCAGTCTTAAAATAGTAGAGCAGCCCTGAGGGTAGCAGGATAGCCCTGAGCCAGTGATGGCGAACCTTTTAGAGACCGAGTGCCCCAACCGCAACCCAAAACCCACTTATTTATCGCAAAGTGCCAGGGCTGCATCAGCATCATGGTGCCCTCATGGGGGGGGGGCAGGGAGACACCTCTGGGTGCTGCCTCTGGCACGCAAAAACCATGGGGCGCAAAAATGGGCCACCGTGCTGCAAGGCGCAAAAACGGCCGTGCCGTGGGGTGCCGATACAAGGCGCTGCACCATGCAAGAACGGGGCAGGGCTAGTATCACGCAGGCACTAGCCCCGCCCCATTTGCAGCATGTGTGCGCTCACGGCCCTGTGCACGCACGCATGCATGTAAAATGCTTCCCCCTCCCTTTTGTTCCAGTCCACCAATCAACAATGGTTGGTGACCTCTGCTCTACCACCTCTACTCGAGCTTGCTAGTCGGCCGCTACATCTCCTTTGTGCTGGGCGGGGCTCCTGCTCCGGGCGGCAATGGTGGCCTGAGGCACCTGCTGCTGGCGGCGGTGGCGCATGTGCCAACAGAGAGGGCTCTGAGTGCCACCTCTGGCACGCGTGCCATAGGTTCGCCACCACTGGCATAGTATGTGTTTTAAAACTGAAAGGTTGGATTCTTTTAATCCCAGCCTATAAATACAAAGCACCCCTAATCTTCCCAGCTCAAGATTTGACTTGAAGGATACCTTTAGTGTTTCAGAGGTCTGAGCCTTTCAGGAAGCATGGGAACAAACTACCTGACCTGGATACTCTGTTTTAGGAAGCAGAGATCGAGAATCGAATTGCGGAAATGAAGAAGGAAGGATTCTGGTCTTTGAAAAGGCTTTCGAAGGTGCCTGAGCCAATTCGGCCCAAAGTGCACTGGGATTATCTTTGTGAGGAAATGCAGTGGCTCTCTGCTGACTTTGCTCAAGAACGTCGCTGGAAGAGGGGTGTTGCCAGGAAGGTGGGTTCCGGCATCTTTAAACTCTCTCGCCTTTAAACTGTCCCGTCTCCAGACTTTTTCAGCAGGTTTGCATCCGTCCATCAAAGAAGAATAATAAATAATAATAATAATAATAATAATAATAATAATAATAATAATAATAATAATAATAATAATAATAATAATAAAAGTTGGAAGGGACCTTGGAGGTCATCGAGTCCAACCCCCTGCTCAGGCAGGAAACTCTACACCATTTTGGACAAATGGCTGTCCAGTCTTTTCTTAAAAACTTCCAGGGTTGGAGCATTCACCGCTTCTGGAGGCAGGTTGTTCCACTGGTTAATTGTTCTAACTGTCAGGAAGTTTCTCCTTAGTTCTAGGTTGCTTCTCTCCTTGATCAGTTTCCACCCGTTGCTTCTTGTCCTGCCTTCAGGCGCTTTGGAGAATAGCTTGACTCCCTCTTCTTTGTGGCAGCCCCTGAGATATTGGAACACTGCTATCATGCCCCCCCTCGTCCTTCTCTTCATTAAACTAGACATACCCAATTCCACCAGCCGTTCCTTATATGCTTTAGCCTCCAGTCCCCTAATCATCTTTGTTGCTCTTCTCTGTACTCTTTCTAGAGTCTCAACATCTTTTTTACATCGTGGTGACCAAAACTGGATGCAGTATTCCAAGTGTGGTCTTACCAAGGCATTGTAAAGTGGTATTAATACTTCATGTTATCTTGATTCTATCCTTCTGTTAATGCAGCCCAGCACTGTGATGTAATTGGTGCTGTTTCAACTGGGTGGGTAGTGCACGATATCGCTATAAGATTTCCCTCCATAAAACTAATCTTTCCTAAAATACGGTCCAGGATAAAAGTGGAAAACATGGCGACACGTGATGGATTGTGGTCATTTGGACCTGTTGTCGTCTTTCTCCCCTGTGGCATACAGGTTGTGCGCATGGTGATCAGGCATCATGAGGAACAGAAGCAGAAAGAAGAACGAGCCAAACGCGAGGAGCAAGCCAAGTTGCGCCGCATTGCTTCCTCCATTGCCAAAGAGGTCAAGCAGTTCTGGAGCAACGTTGAGAAGGTGTGTGAAGCCCTTGTCCAGAGTCAGGAAAAGTGTGTGTACATTCTTGATAGCCTAAATATATAGGCAAGTACATGCCAGCCCATTTTCCATGTCATATTGCGTTTATTCTTATTTTATGTGTCTGATCAAAAGTGTTGAAAATGTACGCATGAAATAGCTGGTCCTTTATACCATAGTGTTACTTTTGCCTGTTGTTATAGTTATGTCCCTCCAGAACTCCAGGCATTTTTTGCATGGAGAGATTTCTCCTCATTTTTATCCACAGACCAACTCCATGAGAAAGGCTGAATTGGGGGAATAGCCACTCAGTAAGTTGCCATTGTCAGATAGGTTTGTAGTCTCAGTCCAAGTTCAAAACCACACTCGGCTACTCTTTTTAAAATTTGCACTGGAGCTATTGTCCTAAGGAAATTGGATTCATTATTTTTTATTTTATATAACAGTTGGAAGGAACCTTGGAGGTCTTCTAGTCCAACCCCCTGCTCAAGCAGGAGACCTTATAACAGACATGTCAAACACAAGGCCCGGGGGCTGGATGCGGCCCGCGAAGTGGTTTTATGTGGCCCGCGAAGCCATCCTGGAAACAGTGAGGGAACGGCCCCCGCTGCCTTGGCCCTGGCCCTGGAGCCAATGTACAATTTTGTGGTGGCCATCTATGCTGAAACGCATTCAGTCTTAGCTCCACAAGGCCGTCTGGAAACAGCGAGGAACCAGCCCCTGCCGCGTCGGCCCCGCCCCCTGGGTGCATGCTGGGGAGGTGTCACCCTTTGTGAGGAATGAAGAAATGCACCATCGCCTGGAAGTGGCCAGCAAATGGCCCTCGCCTACTTCACATATCCGGTTTGATGGGCTCCGGCGGAGGGGTTTCAGCAGGTAGTGAGGCTCCTCCAGTGGATCATTCCTTGGCACTTGCCCTGGTCCCACCCCCTTCTGCCAGAGACCCTCAGATCTGTCCCACTCCTGCTCAGGCCCCCACAGGCACCCTTGATGCGAACGATGTAGAACTGGCCGTGCCCACCCAATAGGCCACACCCACTCTGTCCACACCCACCCAGTAGGCCACACAGACCCCCAGGGCAACCGCAACGCTGATGTGGCCCTCAATGAAATTGAGTTTGACACCCCTGCCTTATAACATTCCAGACAGGTGGCTGTCCAATCTCTTCGTATTAGCAAGAAGCTTTTGATCTGTGCCAAGAAGTCGTGCCCGTTTTTGTATTTTCATGGTTACAGAGGAAAGGATGGCTACAATTACGCATAATGCTATTGAAAGTGCCTTGCGGGACTTAAATGAATTTAGTTCAAGATTGGATTCTCGCTGTAGTTTGTAGTTTGGTGTTTCTTAACTTAAGCCACTCAAAGTCGCCTCGAACTGCGAGATGGGCAGCATATAAACACAATAAACCTCTTCAGGTTGTGCAATTCAAGCAGCAGTCACGTCTGGAGGAAAAACGGAAAAAAGCACTGGATCTGCAGCTGGATTTTATAGTGGGCCAGACAGAGAAATATTCCGACTTGCTAACCCAAAGCCTCAATGAGACTCTTCCAGTTCCCAGCAAGACCAGTGGCTCCCGTGCCGGCTCGACTGCTTCTAGTCCACCTCCCCCTGCTCAGCTCATCGAAGATGGTCAGTTTCCTCAACTCTGTGTCAACGCTGCAAATACTGTATATTCTTGCTTTGACAATATGCAGAACTGTCTGGTATTTATATAGTTAAACCAGCAACTGGGAAAGAGGGAGGAGCATAAGGATAGCCCGGGAGAAAGAAACCGGAAGTAAATCACATCTTCCAAGTTGATTGGAAGATGTGAACCATGACCCCAAAATAAGGGAGTGGGAAATGCTTGGAATGTATATGCGTAACGGAAGAGAAGCCAGACCTAAGCGTTTCTACCATGTTGTACTGACGTCTCTGTAACCTTAATAAATGCTTTTAGGGAAAAATATGCCTGAAAGTCCTTTTAACTGTTTTGTTAATCAGACACATGACACTCTGTTTCTTTGACCTTGCCCAATTCCTAACCCATTTAGTATGGCTTCTGTTTCAAACCGCACCTTCCCACTTAAAAGACATTTGCTTTGTTAGAAATGGTGTTCGTTTTCCAGGGATGGTGTGTGGGATTTCAATGCCCATTCCCGATCCACAATTCTAGAATTGGTTTTGCGACTTGAACGGCGCGTTGCAGCTGATCCTTTTTTCTCTCTGACAGATGGGGATTTTCAACCACACGAAGAGTCCGATGACGAGGAGACAATTGAAGCTGAGGAGCAACAAGAAGGGAACGATTCGGAAACACAGCTGCGGGAGATTGAGCTGCTAAAGCAGGAAAGTGAGCTGCCCTTAGAGGAGCTACTGCAGACATTGCCCTCCCAAATCTTAGAAAATTCCTTCAGTGTCTCTCCTTGTGCCTCCAGCTCGGACAATGAGGAGGAAGAAGAGGGTGACAGTGAAGAGGAAGTTGAGCAGGAGGAAAGTCAGACCTCTGAAACACTAAAGGTATCCTTCAAGTCAAATCTTGAGCTGGGAAGATTAGGGGTGCTTTGTATTTATAGGCTGGGATTAAAAGAATCCAACCTTTCAGTTTTAAAACTCATACTATGCCAGTGGTGGCGAACCTATGGCACGCGTGCCAGAGGTGGCACTCAGAGCCCTCTCTGTTGGCAGACGCGCCACCGGCACCAGCAGCAGGTGCCTCAGGCCACCACTGCCGCCCGGAGCAGGAGCCCCGCCCAGCACAAAGCAGGTGAAGCGGCCGACTAGCAAGCTCGAGTAGAGGTGGTAGAGCAGAGGTCACCAACCATTGTTGATTGGTGGACTGGAAGAAAAGGGAGGGGGAAGCATTTTACATGCATGCGTGCGTGCACAGGGCCATGAGCGTACACATGCTGTAAATGGGGCGGGGCTAGTGCCTGCGTGATACTAGCCCTGCCCCGTTCTTGCATGGTGCAGCGCCTTGTATCTGTACCCCACGGCACAGCCGTTTTTGCACCTTGCAGCACGGTGGCCCATTTTTGCGCCCCCGTTTTTTGCGTGTCAGAGGCGGCACTCAGAGGCGCCTCCCTGCCCCCCCCCGAGGCACTTTGCAATAAATAAGTGGGTTTTGGGTTGCGGTTTGGGCACTCGGTCTCTAAAAGGTTCGCCATCACTGTACTATGCTGTGGTGGCACAGTGGTTAGAATGCAGTATTGCAGACCAATTCTGTCGACTGCCAGCAGTTCGATTCTCACCAGGCTCAAGGTTGACTCGGCCTTCCATCCTGCCGAGGTCAGTAAAATGAGAACCCAGAGTGCTGGGAGCAATAGGCTGACACTTAGGGCTATAAAATACTGAAGCGGTATATAAGTCTAAATGCTGTTGCTGTTGCTATTTAACTGGCACCCACAATTGATATTGGCCAAGAAGCATCCATTACCATCTGTCCTACTGTTACATGCCCCGTTGCTGTCTGTCTCTTGAAGCCTTATCCTCCCCCTCTACTCAGCAGGAGAAACCCAAACCTGTTACTCAGAGGAATAAGAAACCTTGGAAACCAGACGAAGAGGATGAGGAGTTTACAGCCAATGAAGAGGAAGGTAAATTTTGAGTCACGAGTTGACTGAACGTAACAAGAATTGGGCTGAGGTTAGGATTGCAATCCAATAACATAGGAAATCCTTTCTCTCCTAGCTGAAGACGTAGAGGAAACCATAGATGCTGAAGAAAAGCTGGAAGGAAATGTGGATCACAGCAAAGAACTGGATGATCTGGCCAAGGAAGGTTCGAAGAGAGATTGTAGCTTGGGACAGCAAATGGGGATGAGGAGTTGGGTTCCATAATCCTTCAGAACAATAATTATGTTTGAGTAGTATTTCTGAATGTCTGCTGGATCTAAGAAACATCATTCTTAGAATTCGCTCAAGCAGCAAAGGGTCAATTTAAGCACCTGCCCCAACACAGTACTGTTTGTCTTGGAGTACTTCTCCTTCCCCCCAAAAAATGTTGTCACAAACCTTTTTGTTAATGAACTTTATTGAGCTGGCTCTTTTCCCCCCCTTTAATCTCTTTTCGAAACCATGGGAAAAATGACTTTACTGACTAAAGTTTAAAAATTGGCTAATTTGAACCCGTGATGCAGTACCAAAGGGACAGAAAGCATCGGAATCTACTCCTAAGTTAAGAGTTTGGTAGTCAGGGTCAAGACTTAACCTCCAGTTAACAGTTGGCAACTCGTTTCAAAGTTTTGCCACTCCAGAAAGGGGAGATCCCTTCAACATAAGTAAAGCAGCAGATGGGGTTGGAGAAATCCAACTCCTTAGGTTCCGTTGGCCTAACACAAGTTTTTCTTTTGGACTTTTTAACAGGTGAACTGCCCATGGAGGAGCTGCTGCAGAAATATGCTGGGGCTTACGCTTCAGACTTTGAAGTGGAAGCATCAGACACTTCATCTGAGGCACTGGAGCCTAGCACTTCAGAGTATGAGGAGGAATCAGAGGAGGAGAATAGCACTAGTCACTCAGGTATGGAAGGAAGAAGGAGCGGCCCCTGTAATATACGGCTAGAGATATTCCTGTGTTTCGGGCTTGAACATTTGAAAATGTGGGTTGTACTTATCTATGTTGATTAGAACTGTTGAGAGTTGAAGTTTTACAATGTCTTTTTTTGGGGGGGGAATAATTTGCCATCCCACTGCTGTGAATGAATGTTTTTGCATGGTATCAAAGCCGAATGGATCTTTGAGCTGTTCGGACGTTTCGCCCTAGCTCTCCCAAATGGATACCTTGCAAAACTGCTGGTCTAAAAACGATGTCTCGGATTTCTCTGAATGAAAATGGGGGCCTGCCGTGAGCGATTTCTTACCTGGAAAAGCAATATATCGTTCTAAGCCAGGGATGGCGAACCTTTTAGAGACCGAGTGCCCCAAAACCGTCCCTGCCTCCCCGCCCGTCCCTCTCCGCGCCCCACCCGTTTCGCCCCCGCCCCCCACAAGGCCACCCACCGCCTCCACAGCCCACCGCAGTACATTGTCCAGGCGGCCCAGCAGCGCCGTGGAAGCCATGCCCTTCCCACCCTGTGCCCCGCAGCATCATCTGCACGTGACTGGGCGCGAGGGCAGAGTTTTGTCCCAGCTGCCATGTCCTTGGCTGCGTTGCTCTGCGTGGACCGCGCTCACGGGAAACTCTCCTCCAGGGGGGCTGCTGGTAAGAGGGCCGCGGGGGAGGTGGGGCTGGGGCGACAGTACACGTGCCCACAGAGAGGTTCTGTGCCATAGGTTCGCCACCACTGTTCTAAGCATTTGTAAATGATTGAAAGCAGCCAGCTGCAGGGCCCGGGGTCTGGAATACATTTGGTCCAATAGTTAACGGGATTATGTAGTACGGCTTTATCTCCATGTTGCTGATTTTGCCTCCAGATTCCACAGAAGAGATCGAAGAAAGCGAGCAAGAGGAAAGTGAAGTGGAGGATGCCCTTGAGGAGGAAAGGAGAGATGCTTCAGTAATCCAGGAGGAAGATTTTGGTGTTGAGTACCTGTTGAAGCAGGATGATGACAATGGCGGTGAGGGAGACAATGATTCAGCTCCAGCTCCGGGGCCAAAAAAGGAGATCACAGACATTGCAGCAGCCGCAGAGAGCCTACAGCCAAAAGGCTACACCTTGGCAACCACACAAGTGAGTCATGTCTTGGGTCAACCAATTAGGGAGGGAGTGAAATAAAGCAGACAAATTATATCACCATTCTCCCTTGCAGGTGAAGACACCAATTCCCTATTTGTTGCGTGGCACACTGCGAGAATACCAGCACATTGGCCTTGATTGGCTGGTTACCATGTATGAGAAGAAACTCAACGGTATCCTGGCTGATGAGATGGGTCTTGGTAAAACAATCCAGACAATTTCCCTGTTGGCGCATCTGGCCTGTGAAAAAGGTGGGCAAATACCTCGGAGAGAGCTCTGGTTATTCGGGCAGGAAGGAGATCAGGGAGCGGAGATGGATTCCACATAAGGAAAAAGTCACAGCTGATGTCGTGCGAAGTCATATTGGGTGCTAATGTCCACTTGGACCCTTGGCAGAGTAACCAAGCTAGTTACACTGTACCTGTGATTAATCCCTCCCAGTGGTTCATAATAATATATTAAATAACACCATTACAAGGACAGGTCTGTAGTTTCCTGAGGGACAATTCCTGTAGGTCAAGTAGAAGTATCCCAGTATCAGTACTTGGTGAAATATAAGCAGAACCACTGCAGAGCAGTAAAGGAAATCAGACTAGAGCTCCCTCCGCTACTACAACAAAATACAGTGGTTGATGGTACCAAAAGCTGCCAAGAATACAGGATACTAACAGAGTTGCACACACCCCATCTTTCTCAGTATACAGCAGGGGTAGGCAACCTTGGTTCTCTTATGACTCGTGGACTTCAACTCCCAGAATTCCTGAGCCAGCATGGCTCAGCTTGGAAACTTCTCCCTTTCCCCTCAGCATGGCTGGCTCAGGAATTCTGGGAGTTGAAGTCCACGAGTCATAAAAGAGCCAAGGTTGCCTATCCCTGGTATACACCATCTATCAGGGTGATCAGAGTGGTTCTCCATGCCATATCCAGCTGAATCCAAATTGAAAAGGTCACGATATTTAGTTTAATCCAATAACTTGGAGCAACCATGCATGTGTAATCGGGAGGCCTGCCGTTCTCAGGAGTCCAGTGAGATCTCGAGATGGCTCTCTTGCTGATCTCATCTCTTTGAGTGTGGTGTTCTTTTTAAAATCTTTTTTACTATGATTTGTTTTGACATATTTCTGGCATACAGATAGTCCTCAACTTACAACAGTTCATTTAGTGGCTGTTGGAAGTTACAGTGGCGCTGAAAAAAGTGACGTGACTATTTTTCGTACGACCGCTGCAGCATCCCCCACGGTCACGTGATCAAAATTCAGACACTTGGCAAGTGACTCTTATTTATGATGGTTGCAGGGACCCCGGATCATTTAATAACCTTTCGCGACCTTCAGACAACGAAAGTCAGTGGGGAAACCAGGTTCACTTAACCGTATTACTAAATTTACAACTGCGGTGATTCTAACTTAACAATTGTGGCCTGAAAGCGCATAATATGAAGCAAAACTCAACTGTCTCACTGAGCAAGAGAAATTTTGAGCTCAATTGTGGTTGTAGGTTGAGGACAGCGTGCGTGTGTGTGTTTTTGCTGTATACCACCTACAGTCATTTCTTGTGAGGTGGATGGCCATATCATTTCAATGAATAAATACATTGTTGAACTGATCCAACCCAAATGTGTTTTCTTAGGTAGGCTCTCCTCACTGGCTCTTTTTTTTTAGTGGATGGGGAATCCTCTGCAAAAAAGTGTGAATGACCTCAATGATACTTAGCATGCCAGAGTCTTTAGTAGCCTTTAAAAATCAGAGTGGGGAACGAGCTTGTGTTGAAGTAGTTCCCCAAATCTTACTGACTTCTTAAAGAGACAATGCATGGGATTCATTCAAAAGAACATTGCTAGGTGGTGTTCTGGTCATTCCAAGTGTGGGTATGCCTTGAATTGACTCAAAGCCCAGCATGAGCCTAAGTGACCTTAAAATGCCACAAAATTGCTCAAATGGAACCTGGCACTGGTCAGAGTCACTACAGGATTATTCATCCAGTAGCCTGAAAGAGCCCACTTGGCAAATACAGCTGGGAAGAAGATCTGCTTGTGATGGTATTGTCATCTTTGTGGTAGAACGGAATGAATCCAGGGGACACGTGTGACTGGGGGATAAGGTGAAGCAGTGACTTTTGCCTTTAGAGACATAAACATCTCTGGGTACGATGTTTGTTTGCTCCTGCAGGCAGTTGGGGTCCTCACCTGATCATCGTTCCCACCAGTGTAATGCTCAACTGGGAAATGGAAATCAAGCGCTGGTGCCCCAGTTTCAAGATTCTAACATATTACGGGGCCCAGAAGGAGCGTAAGCTAAAGCGACAGGTGAGAGTTTTCAGCCACTCACATCTGGTTTTGAACTTTCCTATTCTTCAGTTATGCATAAGAAGTTCGCCTTCTGCTTCGTCATCTTGTGTGTCCAGTATCTGGCATTCATATATTATAAAATAAAATGACCACCAAGAGAAATCTATAAAAACATATAGAGTTTAATCCGCCAAGCTTTCGTCAAGTGCACTTGACATCATCAGGGCTAAAAAGGCAAATGCCGGTAAAGACTTATATACAGCCATTCAACGCCTGCTTCCGGCTCCTGGAGCGCGTGACCGGCCCCAGCTGATCCTGCCGCACTTCGAGCGCGCTGCCTGCTTTG